CAGGAGAAGCACCTGGCTCCTGCCATCAGATCAGCGCGGTGTGCCGGCTGCAGCGCACCGGCTGCAGCGGCCATTGGAGGGTGAACCAACGGCAAAGGAAGACCTTTCTCTCTGTCTCTCTCTCTCTCTCTCACTGTCCACTCTGCCTTTCAAAAATAAAAATAAAAATAAATTTAAAATAATAAAAATAAAAGAAAATGGGAATCCAAAATTCCTCCAAAGCTAGACTCCTCTATTGGTTATATCCTATTTCTTTCACCTTCCTCATCCATACATTCAGCCAGTCCAAGTTGTGGAAATGCCCTGTCCTAAAATTCTCTGCCTTTCACCACTGGCATGTACTTTAATTCAGTATTACTATAGTTGTTCCATTTTTGCCTCCTTCCAATCCGTGTGCCATGTGCCATGCTATATTGATCCACCAAAAGGATTGTGCAACAGGTTCCAATCCCCCATAGATCAATAATAAGAACAGATAGAAGTTATTGAGTGCCTCATATGTAAAAGAGGCTCTTAAGCAACTTCTGTGCTTAATCTTCACGTTATGTGTTTATTGAGGCAAATTATGATTGCCTCAATTTTACAAAACAGACAACAGCTTCAAAAGGATTAAAAATCAAAAAAATTCAACCTGAAACCTGAAAGCCTCTGTGATGACCCCTGTTTTATTTCTCAGCCTCTATCTTCTACCACTAGTTCCCAGAGCTCCAATCACCCTGTCGCTTCATGACTGTTCCTTTCACTTAAAATTCCTTTATGCTCATAATGTCCTGGCAGATTATAAATCTTCAGATTAGCTCTCAGTTCTTCAGGAATTCCTGCCTCAACCCACCTGCTCTGCTGTAGGTTTTTCTACATTACAATTAACTCATCTTAGTTATCACTCTGAATTCTTGAAGGTAAAATCCTTTGCTTTATTCATTGATGTGTTCTCGAGCAGTTTGCTGAATCTGGCAATTACTACCAGTTTCTGGACCGCCCACAATGTGTCACACTGTGTGCCAAACACTTTTCCATACTCCAGTCATTTATAATCCTCACAATGATGTTAATGGACAGGTATCTTCATCGTCACTTTAACAATAGAGAAATCACTTGGAAATAACTTGCCCAAGATCCATAGTTATTAAGTGGCAGAGCCTAAGAATACAAACTTGCCTACCTCAAAAGCTGGGGCCCAGGTTCTTTGGCCCTTCAATTCCCAATGTGCCTTTGCCACTTCCAGCAAGCCTCCCAAATCCTGTAAATACTCTCTTTGTCTTCCACTGCTAAAAAATGCTAAGCTGAGAAATAAAAACAAGAGACCCAGAGTTGTTGCTCAGCCCGTTAATCTGCCACAACCACCAGCATCCCATACTGGATTGGCTGGGAAGACAGCAGAAAATGACCCAAGCTATGGCGCCCCTACAATCCACATGGGAGACCTGGATGGAGCCCCAGGTTCCTGGGTTCAGCCTGGCCCAGTCCCAGCTGCTTCCTGCACTTGGGGTGTCAACTAGCAGATGGAAGACCTCTCTTAGTCTCTTTTTCTCTTTCTTTGCCACTTAGCCTTTCAAATAAATAAAGCAATAATTAAAAGAAGAGAAAAGCTGGGAAATTGAGACCCAAATATATTTAAGGGGAAGTAGGCACTTAAGCAAGAGGTCATCTTTTCGCATAGGGGAAGGGACAGGAAATGCTGGGGGAGGCAGAGGCTGCTGCACCCACTATTGCACAAACCAAAAGGTCGACTCCAAGGAGAAAAGGAGGCCTGCAAAGTAGCTCCTCAAGAATGGCGAGAGACTCGCTAAGCGAAGAAATAACAAAGGTTGCAATGGTGGTCACATCCTGACCTGCAAATCCAGGCAATACAGGTTTATTTATTTCTTTTTTTCACGCATCACATTGTATTTGGGGAATTTTTTCCTTCTGGTGTCTCTGGTCTGCATACGCAGCCGCAGTAGCCAGCGGGAAAGCTCGCACTCGCTTCTGTCTTCAAGCAGGGAGCGAGAGAAACAGCCTTAGGGATTGCTCTTCAATCACCCCGTCCCCTAAGCCCTGTACAAAAGGAAGAGAAGGGGACAGAGTTAGAGGTTAGCGCCCCCTGGGGGTCCAGCCCCTAGGGGGGGGGGGGGGGGGGGGGGCTTCCGCCTTCTGGTCGCTAGGTGCTGCGTTCCCCAGAATGGGCGCTAGCCAGCGCCACAATGGCATTTCTCTCCCAGCCAATCCTGAACGCACGGGCTCCTAGCACTTAGCAACGCTCAAAGGGAAAGAGTCGGGTGTTAGGATTTCGGGAAGCCGGTCTGCGCCTGAAGCAACGGTGAAGTAGTTGACCCTGTGTTACTCTGCAAAGTAGCTTCAGAGTCGATATAATGAGTTCCATTAAAGTCTATTATACCAGCGTGTCAGGCTCTAGGGAGGTGAGTGGGAAGAAAAGTGCCTGCTGGGGAGGGGGTAGACATCCTGGTTGGGGTCTTAGAGGCTGTGCTAAAAATTTGCAATCCCCTTTCTGCCTTTTAGGAGGTGGGCGTAGAGATGAACGAGACTAGAGGAGGAGAGTGTAGAGTGAGGAGACATAGGAGAATGGAAAGGAGGGTGCAAGGAACAACAGGGGAAAATGGGTGGTTAATGCTCTCATTCAGGTTGTGTTCTCAGAACTGATTGACTTGGGAAATTTCTGGTATCCTAAGTTCAAGGGCCTGCAAAAATGTTGCAGATGTCTCCAATGAAAATAATAAAGAACTCTCTTTAGGAGAGGAGACGAACACCGCCCATGAGCAGCCAAAATCTTGCGACTATCTGCCAACTCAAAAAGGAACAGCTATGTTTGCATAGAGCACAGATTTCCTAGATGAATTAATATTTGGATGAATTATTTTGACTAGGATATAGGAAGTATTATTGAAGAGTGCTGTCTAATAGAAATATAATTGAGCCATATATGCAATTTGAAAGTTTTAGTCGCCAGGGGCTGGTGTGCGGTAGGTTGTGTGGCTGCCTTCCACACTAGCATCCAATATTAGAGTCAGTGTGAGTCCCAGCTGCTCTGCTCCCTACTAATTCACCTGAAAAGCAGCAGAGGATGGCTCAAGTACATAGGCCCCTGCCACCAATGTGGGAAACCAGGATGAAGCTCCTGGCTCCAGCCTGGCACAATCCCAGGTGTTCCACCATTTGGGGAGTCTCCTGTCTCCTGTCTCTCTCTCTCTCACCTCCCATTCTCCCTCCCTGTACCCTCCTTCTCTCCCCCCTCCTGTCTCCTCACTCTCCTCTCCCCATTTCCTTCCCTATTCCCTCTCCTCTTTCCTCCCTGTATTATCCATCTCCCCTCCATCTCTCCACCCTGTATTCACTCTCTCCCCACCACCCTCCCTCTCTTCTCCCTCTAACCAATAGCTGTCTTCCCTCTCCAATCTTCCCCTCCTCCCCCTCCTCCCTACCCTCCTCTCCATTCTCCAATGTCTCCTCACTCTACACTCTCTCCTCTTCTAGTCTCTTTCCTCTCTATGCCCACCACCTTCCCCTCTCCCCTACTCCTCTCTATCCCCTCTCCTTTATCCCCCTTACTCTCACCCTCTCCTCCCTCCTTCTCTCCTCTCCCCCATTGTCTCTCTCAATTTCCTCTCTCCCCCTCCTCTTTAGCTCCATCTTCACTCCCTCTCCTCTCCCCCCCATCTACTCTCTTCTATCTATCCCTCTCCTCTCCCCTCTCCTCTCTCCCTCCTTGTCTCCACCTCTCTTCCCCCTCCTCTCACACCCTCTCCTCTCTCTCCCTCTCCTCTATCCTGGCCTC